GGGGTCCCGCGCCCGGTCGTGGAAGCGCGCCTGCTTGCGGAGGAAGTCCTCGGCCCGCTGCTGGCCCAGGCGCTGGTCTACCGTGGGCTCGGCCGCGCGGCTCTTGTTGGTGTTATTGTTGCGGTTCTCCTGGGGATCCACCACCAGCGGCCGGTCCAGGTGGGTCTTCATGTCGGGCCGCAGGTGCCGCGCATAGGTGGCTTTCCAGCGCTCGTCGGGGTCCATCTCGTTGTACAGGGCCTCCCGGCTGGCCAGCAGGTTCTGTTTGCGCATCTCGCTGGTCCGCTGCTCCCACACGGACTTGGTTGGCTTCTGGTTCTTCTGTTGCTCCTTCCTGCAAGGGAAGGGGGCACGGGTTAGAGCACCGCTGGGCACCGCACCTGCATGGGACACTTGGGCTTATGGGAGTCTCAACCCAGGTGGGCGTCTTATCTCAGGTGGGCATCTCCCAGCTGGGGCTCTTGGCCTAAGTATATGTCTCAACTGTGTGGAAAATTCAACCTTGCTGGATATCTCAGCCTTATAGGTGTTTTGGCCCAGGTGGGCATCTAAGTCCAGATACAAAATGTTTATCTCCACCTAGCTGGGCATTTGGGTTGATGGGGGTCTCAGCCCAGGTGGGTGTCCCCATCGTCCTCTTTATATTATAGCACATGACTCCCTGGAGGGCTTGTTGATGTTTAAAATATTTTAACCTCTGACTCAGCCAATCATAATGGACACTGGCCTGGAGCAGGTTCCAGAGGCCCCTGTATTGCTTGCAGGACCCTTCAGTTTTAGGTCATAGGAGGTCTAGGGGTTCCAGGAGAGCCTGAGTGGGCACTTAGGAGTCTACAGGAAGTGCCTATTTATGCTGGAGCAAAGCAGCCAGCGGCAGGCCTGCTGCTGGGAATGCTGCTGAGGCTGGAGCTCTGCCTGGGGTATCAGATTTTTTCAGGGGTTTGGTGTGCACTGATAGTTTTATACAGACCTTGACCTTCCATAGGCTGCCTGAACATGAACCTTCTTTGGCTCCCCGCTCCCAGCCACCTCCTTCTACTTTGGGAAAGAAAGCCTCCTCCCCATTGTTCCATGATGCACTGCTCCACAATCCTCAGGGCACCCCACAGAGGCACAATTAAGAATCTTGGTGTCAACAAACCTCCCTTCTATCAAGACACCTTAATTCTCACCACCTCTGATCCACCAGCAAACTCTGTCCAGTCTACCTTCATGATCTCCTAGAATTCATCTGTATCCATCACCTCTTTGGTCACCACTCTGATCCAGCCACCACTATCTCTTTTGCATGGACCAGTGCAGTCATCTCCAACTTGGTTTCCTGGCTCCTGCCCTCACCCCCAGTTTGTTTCCCTGGGAATAGCAGCCAGAGGGAGCCTGTGAACTCCTGAGTCAGGTCCTGTCCCTCTGTTCAAGAACCCTCCAGGGCTCCCACCTGACTCAGAGCAAAAGTTTAAGTCCTGCCCATGGTTCACAAGGCCCTGCATGATCTGCCCTGTCACCTCCTTGCCTTCATCTCCTCCCACTCTCCTCGCTTGCTCACTCATACTGACCTCTTAAATACACAGTGCATGCTGCTGCCTCAGAGCCTTTATATGTGATGTCCCCACTGCCCAGTGCCTGGATGCTCTTCCCTTAGGTCCCCCCATGTCTCCTCTCTCCTTCAGGCCTTGTCACCTTCTCAGTGAAGGCTTTCCTGACAGCTATATTTAAAAATCTCAACTCTCTCCATCCCTAGCACTCAGTACATCAGTTAATGCTGTATCCCCAGCGGCTAGAACGTGCCCGGCACACAGTAAGTAGGTGCTTATTAACTATTTATGGTGTGAAAATGAGTGGGAGGGCAGAAGTACCTCTTCCTAAAGCTCAACCCTGTCAAGGACTGCTTCCTGCCCCAAATCCTTGACTGGGAAGATGTGGAGGCCCAGGAGCATGCCAGCCAGAGCCAGGGCACTTACACAGCTATGGACAAGTTGGCCGCGGACAGAGGACTCACTTCTGCCACCTCCTTGGCTTTCTGGAGGGCGAGTTTCTGGTTGGCTGCCTCTTCTTCTTCTTGTTCATCCTAAAAGGTACATGGGATCCCTGTTTACAAAACTTGAACTAGGCCTTGGGGCCTCATTTCTGACCCTACTGCTTATCATGGGCAACTCTGGGAATATTTACAAACAGGTTTGGCCTTGGTTTTGACCAATCAGAGCCAAGGCCAAGGCAATCGGAACAGCTGCCTAGTGTACTGCTATCCCCTGTATGTACAGGCCCAGCTCATTATTAACCCTATGTTAGCATACAGCCAGAAGAAGAAGAAAAGGAACAAGACTCCCTTCCCTTTTCACAGTGGGGATTTTTCTGCACTCTGTCTCAAGGAGCTGGAAATTAATGCAAAGATTTTCCTCTTACTGTACTTTCCAGGCCATGTAAGCTCTCTGAACCAAGACTGGAAAACACACACAACAACACTGACTAGTCCCCATGTGCAGAAAAATCTGGCATCCCAGGGCCCATCCCATGCACTGCCAACAGCCTCCAGAAGGAAATTGGGAGGAGCTTATATTCTCAGCAGGTTAGGTTCAAAAAGGAGGAGGATGGGGGAAGATGTTTTAAAAAATACATACAGAAAAAGATGTTTTGGGGCCTTAAATCCTTCTTCAGACTTCATGCAGGGCCTCACTCGTAAAACAGAAAAGCCAACAAAGAAAAAGCAAAGAAAAGGCAACGAGAAAGAAATGGCCAGAGGTGAACCCACCAGTAAGTCATGTGATCCCTGTGCTGGGATCTCTGGGGCAAGAAGCAATCTTACCACCTCCGAAATAATCAGATCAGGACACTCTCCGTCAGCGAGAACATGGAGGTGGGACCCAGCCAGGCCCCCAGGTCTCACAAGGCCTCCCTTCCTCCTGGCACAACATCCAGCATTTCTCAGAGCTGGGCCCAGGGACTGCCTACTTCAGAAATACTGCAAATACAGATTCCCAGGCTTCCCAAAGAACCTGGGTAGGGCCCTAGAACCTGCATTCTTAACAAGCTCCCAGGTGAGTATGAAACACGCTCAAGTTTAAGCACCAGTACACATGGTTATGAGCACAAATTTTAGACCCACTTAGATTCAAATCCCAGTTCCACTACTTATTGCTGTGTGACCTTGGGCAAGCCTCGTAACCTCTCTGTGCCTCCCAATCCTCATCTAAAATTTCAGCTCTCTCTGACTTTCTCTAGGTCACTTTTTCCCTTGGTACATATTGCCATCTGACAAATTTATTTCTTGTCTGCTTCTCTCACTCAAATAGCAGACCCATGAGAGCAGGGATTTCTGCCTATTTTGTTTATGGCTGTGTCCCTGGTTCCTACACCAGGCCTTGCTCACAGTAGGTGCTCAATAAATGCTTTTGAATGAATGACAAAAGCTCTGAGAAGGTGCATCCGGGGGTTTCTGTGAGCATTAGATGAGCTAAAAACATATCAGGGGCTTGTGGGGTGCCTGCCATATATTAAATGCTAAGATATGCTTGTGGAATAAATGAAGGAAAGAATGTGAGTCTGGAGAATGTCCACACTTCACAGGTGAGGAGCTTGCCTTTCTCCCTCCCCTTCACCCACCCTCCTAGTGTCCCCTCTCCCCAATGAGTTGGATGAGCTCATGGCTGGATCGGCCCCCAGAGCAGCCATGCCAGCAGGCTCCATGGTGGCCCGGCCCAGGGCTGTGTGTTTGGGGTGGTGGAGACTTCCGTTTCCTCCCCAGTCGGAGCTGGGCCTGGGAAACTCTCTCTCCCTCCTGCCAGGGCCGGCAGATGGAGGGTTGGCAAGGTCTGCTCAGTTCGGTTCAGTTCCATGAACACATCCTGAACACCTCGAGGCACTGGGGCCATGAAGCTGCGGGAGGCCCCAGGCCTGGTCCTCCTGGGCTGGGAGGAAGACTCTACACATTCTCTTAAATTGATGGGGCTGCTGGCGCAAAGTTTAGGGCAGATCACTGCTAGCTCCTAACATGCCTTTGTTGCTGACCCCCCTCCCCCAAATTGTAAAAAGGTATTCAGCTTACATTGTGCAGTGCACAACCTGCACAACCATCCCCGTGGCCCTGCCTGTGGGCATTCCCAGGGATGTGAGCAGTGTCACTGAGAACAATGTTGCCTCCTCTGGCCTGTATGTGGTGGGCCTGACTCCCAGGGAGTCCAAGGTTGCCTAAAGTGGCATTGGCACCAGGTTTTGCCCAGACAATTCCTTCTCGGTGACCACAGATAAAACTGGGCTTCTCCTCACACAGATGGTTCTCACTCCCAACCTCCAAAATTCTCTTTTCATTTCATTTCCTCTGCTCTTCTGATCTTTGAGGGGTCACATCTCTGCCTTTTCAGTTCCTAGTTATGTGGTGAGGTCATTTAACCTTCCTGGGTCTCATTTTCCCCATCTGTGAAATAGGGATAACAGTAACTCCCTATCTGTTATGTTTGCTGGTGGCAGTTACACTTTCTGTGGTTGCTATTATTATTTTATCATTACCTGCCCAGCTGGGCTCAAATGAAAGTAGCAGGGTGTGTGAGTCAAGAACTTGGGTTCTGGAGTTTGCCAGCTCTGGGTTCGAATTCCAGCCTTCCCTTTACCCGTTCTATAAAATGAGAGCTCTAGGTCTGGGGCCTGGCTTGTGCCCAGTGACTAACAAAGGCTCCTTTTATTGAGCACTTAATGTGTACCAAAAACTGCTGAGCACCTGACAATGCACAGTGTGATGCTATATAAATAGCAGCTGCTATTTTCATGCCAGCTGGGCCCAGTGACTGCCTTTCTGAGCCTCAGTTTTCCCTTCTGCAAAAAGGCGATAACAGCAATGCCTGGCACCATGAGTATCAGAATTCTTCATTGCTACCAACCAGCAATGATGTCCAGCCAGCTCACGGGGATGGACATCAAGCCCCAGGACCCTGTGTAGGTTATTCTCCATCTGTCCCACTCTTTCAGTTCTAGAGTGACAGTACAGTGCCCTCGAGCCTGGGGTGGGGGCCGCACCATTCCTTGGAGGTCCCTTGACACTGCCCACTGCCTATCCACAGGCTCTCGGTGGAGTTTGCCATCTGTTTCCTGAAACCCGGTGCCTCACCCCCTCCCACCTCCTCTGCCATAGAATCCACTTGACTAGCACAGTCTGCGTGGGGAGGAGGCGCCTTCTCCCTCGTATGGTGCATCCGGGGCAAACACTCTGACCCTGTCCCCATCCCCGCATGCCCAGCACAGTCCTGATCTGCCACAAGCAGGCGGTAACTTTTCCAGAGAAACCTTCTCCCACCAACTGCACCTTGGTAAGCTCCTGGGCGTTGGCCAAATTATCCACCGCGATGGCCAAGAACACGTTCAGGAGGGTGTCTTTGGACGCCAGAGTTAGGGAAAGCAATGTCACTGGGACCTGAGTATGTGGGTCTCCTGATCGCCTCCCTCATGCCCCCATCTGGGCGCGTCCGAGGCCCAGGTATGTCCCCACGTCCCGCCACGGAGGATACAGTTCCCGAAGAGTGTCAACACGATGAAGTAGATGGAGAACACCATGCCGCCCTGCACGCCGCCCTGAGATTTGATGCCGTCGTACATGACCTCGTTCCAGTCCTCGCCCGTCAGGATCTGAAAGGGAGGGAGGAACACACAGCCAACCCCCTCTCAGCCATGGGCCCTGGAAGACGCAGCTGTGGGGCCCAAACCTGCCTGTCCCTGCAGTGAGGGGCTCTCAGCCCAGCTTCTAGGGAAAGGGGGCCCTGGGGAAGTCATGAACCTCTGTAACTGTCTCCCTGATATAAATGGGGATCTGATAGGAACTGAGTCGTGCCCCCTAAATAAATACATTGACGCTCTAAGCCTTCATGCAATGCTATTTGGAAATGGTAGGTAATTAAGGTTAGATGAGTTCATGAGGGTGGGGCCCTAGGTGATGAGATTAGTGCCTTTGTAAGAAGAGACACAACAGAGCTTGGGCATTCTCTCTCTGGCTCTCCTCCCCCATGTAAGGACCTGTCGAGAAGGCCTGCCTGCTGGCCAGGAAGAGTCCTCACCAGGAACCACCCCTGTGGGCACCCTGACCTGACTTCCAGACTCCAGAACTGTGAGAAATAAATTGCTGTTGTTTAAGTAACATCTTCACTGGTCCTCTGGGCTGCTGTGCCTGGGGCAGGGCAGGTGCTCGTGACCAGAGAAGGCCCTGCCAGCAGGTGCTGGCAAACAGAAATTGGGCTGATGCTCACGGAAAGACTGAGAGGGCACATGTGTGGTATCCACACACTCATTAAAAAAATTTCACTCTCCTCCTTCATAGTATTTCCACGAGGATCAAGTAAATGTGAAAGAACTCCCGACATGCTGATGTGTTAACCCAGGGTTTCTTGGCCTCGGCACTGCTGATATCTGGGGCGGGGCATCCTGCGTACTGTGGAGTGTTGAGCAACAGCCCTGGCTTCCTCCCACTAGATGCCAGGAGCACCCACCTCCATGTTTGGGGTTACAACCCAAAGTGTTTCCAGACACTTTCAAGTGGCCTTGGGGGGCAGAATTGCTCTTGGGCCAGAACCTCTGTGCTGAGGATCTGTGGGTGGTGGTTACTACTATTGAATCATTTATGTGAGGGCTCAGAACTTTGCTTCATGGATGGTCCTCTTTCCAACCCCCATCTTGGGATCTTATTTAGAACCCCCCCCCCAGGAGAAGGCGGGAATGAAGTCCCATTTTCCATACACTGTCCTCCAAAGAGACAGAACCCACTAGAAAGGCTCTCCCAGCTGGGCCAGTCCCAATCCTCAGGTCATGTGCCCACATGGGTGCAGAACCTGGTTTGGAGACACTGCCCAGGGTGAGTATCTTTGTTCTGGAACACAGGAGTGGGATGTCTTGGAGAGGATGTGTAGCAGCTGTGTCTTTTATTTTTTGTATTCTGCTGCTTTGATACCTCAGCCACCTTCTCTCTTTTGTTTAATTTTTATTTATTTATTTTTATTAAATTTATTGGGGTGGCAATGAAACATATCTTGAATACCTGTTACTTTTTTTTTTAATCCTCACCTAAGGATATTTTTCCCACTGATTTGAAATAGATACATCGATTGGTTGCCTCCTTGACCGGAATGGAACCCACGACCCTTCAGTCCGCAGGCCGATGCTCTAACCATTGAGCAAACCCGCCAGGGCGCTCAGCCACCTTCTCTATCAGGCTCTCACACTCAAGGCCAGCATTCTTTCCCCAAATCACCCCAGGGCCAGGTGCCAGACAACTCAGGAAAGCATCTACACCCCAGAACCCGCTGAAACTATCCAAATTAGCCAATCCTCACCCTGCTCACCCTGCCTCCTCTACTCCTTCCTATGGAAACCCCATAAAGGCTCCTGCCCATGTTTCCCGTCCCCCTGCCTCTGGACTCTGGTGCTTTCTTGTGTGGCCCTGTACAGTGTGGGGCTGGGTGAAGGTCGTACCTGAAACACTGTCATTATTGCTGCTGGAAAAGTGTCAAAGTTGGTAGGAGGAGTCCCTTCATCGAAATTAAACCTGTGGGGAGAAGGCAAACATTTCCCGTTGGCCCTGCCCCAGGCACTGTGAGGCATGGTTCAGCATCTTGTTTCCAGGGCAACATCTCCAGCATCTCTGTCCCCCAGAGGACACCTGAGTGGTACCCTGGGCCCTGCCTGTCTGGGTGAGTGCACAGGGCATCCAGGCCACAAGGGCAGTCGGCATGATGAAGGTGGGCCTGAGTCTCTGGAGGCTCTGAGCTTGGCGTGTGGGGGCTGAAGGGGTGCCTGGGCCAGACCCCAGGGAAGCAGACGTCGGAGAAGCTGCTGAGCACTTACTGGCCGCCAAAGAGCTGCATTCCTAAAAGTGCAAAGACGACGATGAACAGGAAAAGGAGGAACAACAGGCTGATGATGGATTTCATGGAGTTGAGAAGAGAGACGACCAGATTCCTGAGAGACGCCCAGTACCTGCCAACAGAGGCCGGGGGTGGGGGCGGGGGGTGAGGCTGGGACTG